AACGGCCGCAAACGGCAAAACGCTGCAAAACACGTAATAAAAGATTACGGCCAAGTGTTTGAAAAATACATAAAGGAAACCCTTTTTACTGTCCTCCTTAACCAACTTTCTCATCAAGATTCACACGGGGCAAAACTTTTCTTCATTCTGGGCACTTCTTTCTTGATCTGATGTCAGTGTAACAGCGCTTTGAGTGGTCGGAAGACTAGAAGAGCGCTATACAAGTACAGGTCCATTTACCTTTAAAACATTTTCAAGAATAAAGAACACAGTGGACACTAGCTCATGTGGTCCCACAGTTTTATTGGTTCCAACTGCACTGACAGCTGATATGGTTGAAGTAAAAATTACAGATGATGAAGACAGAATTGAGAAGTGGTTTCCAGTCATTTATTGGAAATCACACATGTACAAACAGTAAATTATGAATATACGTCTAGCGTTTATATTGTTTCACTGTAACAGCATATTAGACAGTACAGCAGCAAAAGTATAAATACTGTTTTCAACTTAATGGCAGGTACTCTTGGAAGACTGTGATAAATGAGTATGTTTTTAAAAGCCATTTAGTAAAACGAAGGAAATCTAAAATAAAAACTGTTTTGAATAATAATTAGAAAAGAATCTGCTGGCACATAACTAAAAATCCTAACCCTCACATTCGACAGAAACGTTCTGAAGACAGCAGCACTTCTCAGAACACAATGCTAAAATGATTTTTAAAACTAAGGCTATATATGCCCTACAGGGAATATATTAAAAATCCCATATGCACACAGTAACATATATGTGTAAAAATAAGGCAACTTTGTATTGTGGTTGGATGATTAGAAAGGCTAGCCATTCTTTACAATGTTTTCATTAAATATTAATGTTCACACAGCTTGTATCCCCTGAAAACCAAACTGCTAACACGGATGCTCAAGGGCCAACAGTGACACGGAGCAGCCCCCAGTATTCACTGATTTACTGGGCAGCTTCCACTGTGAATGTGAAAGGTCAAATGAACTGAATATTAAGGTGCATCTGTATTAGTCTGAAACCTTGTTTGAAGGAGGAAAAATAAATATTTCAGGTTTTCACCTGGAATGAAAACCATGAGAAGATCTGATGGAACACAAAAGAAAATCAAACACTCAAGAAAGTGTGTTCAGTGTACTTGTGAATTCCTAAACCCAAAGGTAGTTTTAAAAGAAAAAAATGTGAAAGCTCCATTTAAAGACTCTCCACCAGAGTCAGCCACAAAGGGTGAAGCATCAAATTAAAGTATCTTGAATATCTGGTTAATCAAAATATCAAAAGATGCCAAAGTCAAGGTATCCTTGAGTTTTCCTTTGGACAAAGCAGGGGGCAAGAAGACAGAGAAAAGAGGCATCAAAGTCCCTTTAAATATGTCAGTCATCCTCTGCTTCCCCGCCTCATTCAGCAGGTCCCCAAGGTGAGTCGTTTGCGTTTTCACTTGGTCGCGCTGTTAAGCATTCCAGGGTGGTTAATGGAATTAAAATCAATGACAATCTGAGTCCTCTTGGGCTTGAACTGCCTGCCAAAACCCAGAGGAAAAAAACAACATGCACATAAGAACAGGAAAAACAGGTACACCAAATAAAAACAAGGACGAGGAAGAAAGTCGCCTTTCCATTGTCACCTACACCTCGTCACACACACACACAACAGCTCGCCTTGTCCACCTCTTTCTGCTCCTCTCTCCACATAATATACGTGTACATTTGTGTCTGCTCTGTTGACTCTGTCAGCAGAATGTTTTATAAAGTTGCACAAGAAACGACACACATTTTGGTTTTGGTGGAGGATTTGGTTTTAGTTTTGGAGGAAGCTTGTTAATGATGTCAATCTATCAAAAAACAAAACTGTTGTTTTAACTGGTCTCCGCTGGTAAAATATCCACCATGCTAAAATAGATATCCTTTCAGAATATCCTGGCTGAAGGCCAAACTAAATCTAGGTGGGAATGACTGAAAAGTGCTATTTTGGAGGTTAAAATAAATGTTATAAAATATAAAAATATATATAAAGGTTAACTGTTCTATGTGGAGTGAGTTAATCAGCTAATTTGAGGAAAACCAAGGTATAAATATATTAGCACAATATCAAATACTGGTACTGCCCTGTAATACACTGACCAGCATATTTAGCTCTTTAGCTCTACCATGCAAAGATCTGCACTTTATAAAATCAGCCCTCTGGTTTGTTCTAAAGGTCTTAAAGGTCGCTTCTTTCCTTCGCCTTTAGATCGCTTCCACCACGCCTCCACGTTTCCCTGTGTATTTGTGGTTTTCGACTTGTCAGACATGACTGACGCTTTCAGAGACAAACAACTGCAGTAAACACACTGGGAACCAGTTCTCAGCTTTAGAGATCTGAGCAGATCTCACCTTTAACACTATCAACCATAAAGCCTTTGGCACGCCTTACAGCACTGTGGGCTGCCCTCAAAAAATTTGTCATCACCCCCATCCTCCTGCATGTCATGACTGCTGCTGTTCACTGTAGTGGATCAGATAGAAATCCTTTTCAAAATCAGGACAGGAATCAAGCAGGGTTGTGTCACAGCTCTCACTTACCACTGATCTGACTAGCTCTAGTGCTATATCATCTGCTCCTCTCAGGTGTAACCTTATTGCCTTGTTATTGCCCATTGTTGTGGACAACTGGACAAATGTGGATGACTTAGACTGATATATAAGTTGATATTGACCTATAGTAGAGATATCGTTTGTATATAACACACTGTGGAAGGCAGCACAGAGTAAGGGAGAAGCAACAGCTCTCAGCAGTGCCAACTAGAATAGGTTGTAGACAATGTATTGTATATGCAAATTTTTTCATATTTGTTTAAGAATGCAGCCTTCAGAATACCTCTGCATAGTCATATCACTACACAATCCACATAGAAAATGTCCATTTACTAACCAGCTCAAAATCCACTATATTGCTGCCATATAGGTAATCAGTGATTTTTTTCGCTTTAAAATCCAATATTGATCAAATCATTTTCAGTTAAGTTACTATAGAAGTACAAAAACATTTCCAGCCATCTGAAACATCAATGATAACTCTGTTTTAAATGGACTACATTTTTAATGTAAGGTGTCATATTCCACCATACCACTGTTGACCTAAATGAACAAAATGTACAAGCACATTCTCATAGGCATGTTGAAAAGCATTCTGGAAAATGAAGCAAAGTATAATTGAGTGGTGGAGAGGGTGGAAGTTGGAAAAACCTTGGTGCAACAAAACAGGTTAATAGAAATTAACCCATCACAAGATAACAGAGGTGAAATTTCACTTTAAGGCAAGAAAGCAACACTATTTCTGTTTTTTCCTGTGTGCCAGAGAAAAGCAGTTACTCACCTGACTTGTATGCCTGCCATGCTGAGCAGCCTTCTGGAAGCTACCATCTCCGCACTGTCATGGTACTTATCAGAAAGATAGACCACATCCCTAATACCTGGACCGAGTGAGGGAGGGGTAATATAGGGATGCAGAAGGCAGAAGTGCAGAATAAAGACCATTATTAGTCTTATTAGAGATGGGGTTCTTACTTAGGGAAATGAATGGCAGTTGATAGCAGGAAGAGATGAAAAAGATATGAAAAAGAAGGAGATGATTTAACTGCTGTTTTTGTCTCCCTAGTATGGATACATATGTCTGTCCATTCAATTGTTTGGCTCTTAGCAAACATTTCATGTGAGTGCTGAGTAGATTTTCTGTAGATATTCATGCTCCCCAGAGGATCCAAGAATAGCAAACTTAGAAGTATGCTGTTCACTCTGACCAACACGTTTTACAGTAAAGTAAAATGAACATTTCAGACAGTGGGGATTTAGACAAGAGATGGTGAAATGAAGTTTAAATAAAGCATTTAGGGTTCAAGGCTTCATTCAAAACATTACCATATAACAGTGCTATAATAACCTGCACTTGAATATCTACATACACACAACACACATACAGTGTGATGCAAAGAGCCTAATAATGAAAGCTTTTGCCTCCACACAGAGAGGTTCTCCGGTTGTATTCTCCTACTGGGACAAGACATTTTTCCGCTAATTTTAGGACAATAAATCTTATATAATATTATTGAAGGAATAGAAAGTAAACAAATAATCAGAATACATTGTTAAATACTTTAAAAGACAACTGTCAATTGCAGCAGGATATCAATATATTGGTTATTTTGCATCAATAAAGAGCACAGATGAGTCTGGGGTAGGGATGTGCAAAATAACTCGACCAGTCAATTAAATAATGCTATTCTCCCTAGTTGGCACCAGAAATACTAGTCAGCTAAAGTAATTATTCCTATTTTATTCATGTAAAAACTGTACATTCATATAAATGTACCAGTGCATATTTCAGTAGTATTTCAAATTTTAACAAAAATAAAAAAGAGACAACAAGCAGTGTGTGTGTATGTGGGTGGTCAACACACCTGCCTGGATGATGAGCTTGGCACACTCGTTGCAGGGGAACAAAGTCACATACATGGTGCAGCCTTTCACATCAGCACTGTTCTTGTTCATAATGGCATTCAGCTCTGCATGGCACACTGTGGGACACAGTGTTGAGAGACATTGCAAGTTAGGTTACTTAAGGTTTAATTAGGCTGTACCAAAAACATATAAAAGAATATTGGCCATAAACAAACCTTTAGGGACAAGCAGATATGAAATACAAGAATCTGTTTCCTAGGATAGGGTGTTTTTATGACACTAGTGAAAAACACTTAATTCTCTCTTAAACTCATCATAAACATCGAACCAGTTTTTGTATTGTTTATATTTAGTTGAAAAAAGTCCCAATAAAAATTGTCCACAGTGACTGATTATCTGCAGATTACCCAAAATAATTGTGCTTCTGCAAAGAGATGTTGCTCTTACGTTTTTTTTTAATGCATTTTTCAATGCTTTGAGATTGGCCAGATTTCCATGGACTTGCTGATACACTATACCTAGTGCCATCATCAGACAATATATGTATCGCCAGATTTTTGCTAATACGCAGCCCTACTCCACCGATTTAGTACTGCACTGCTGTATAACACTGTCTGATCCACGATGGACAGTTTAAAGGATCAAAAGTAACAAGAACAAGCAGAGTAGAGATATTGTCTTTTATATTCAAAATCTGGCACCTACATTACCCACAATGTATCCTATGTGCTGACAGTTCAGGTGGACATTTTTCATTGTATTTTGGAGAAGCACAACTGTTATGATAGTAGCAGCTAACAGCCTCAAGATGCTAGCCTCAAACTGAGAAGAGTAAGTTACAGACATCTGGCAAGCTCACTTTAGCACAGTCCAAGTGCTTGCTCATGGTGGTCTGTTGGGTTTCTGTAAATGTTATAAGGATTTCGGTCTTAGGACCTGCTCTATTTGAAAGTTGTACTGAGATAGAACTTCATGTTATGATGGTGCTATACAAATAAAATAAAAAATTAATTGGACTTCTTTTTAACTCTGATAATTAATTTTTCCATTCAAACTTGTAGTCTTCAGCACTGAATAACATTTCCATTGGGTGTAACAGTACAGTATTTGTCCCAGACTATTCTGTACAGAACATTTGGTTTGGTATGAAACTTCCTTGGTTTGGCCCCCCTTGGGACCACAATTACTCTTAAAATAACCCATTTATGTCTACTACTCACACACGCAAACAATTTGCACTTTTGTATGATGAAAATTTTATAATATTGAGCATTATGTGACTTATATATAACTTGTAAACTTTGATACACACAAGAACACTTCCTTCCCACAGGGCATCACTCTGAGCTAACACAGTGGTAGCATCATGTGCATGTTATTGTGCACTGTCACTGACAGCAATTTCATCAATGGAGAAAGGTTGAGTGAGATATCTTCATCATCTATACTCTACCACCCTCTACAGGCCAAAGGTTGGCACTCAGCAGCATAGTGGGAACCATTAATGAACTACAGTCTTTCCTGCACACACAAATGCCTTCAAAACTGGGTTATGTTCAGTCCAGAAATTCTGCCCCACAATATAATTTGAATACTATGTAGTTTTGTGCTGTGGTGGATGAAAAGTACTAAAGTTAAAGAACTGTTTGCAATCATATTTTTTCCTGGAATCAGACAGAAAGCGAATAGAAGTGTGTGGGCATTCCCACCATAAGGGTATTTAGTGTCAAGCCGGTCATCTGCAGAACGGGACCAGGGTAGCAGGTCATCATCACAGCCATTGGGCATACCATTGTATCCAATGCCAACTATCTTATTCTCCTGGTTCACTATACATGCCCCCACCTGCAGAGAGGGAGAGGAGTTCCACAGCTGTAAATCTGAAAAGATATCAAACAATCCAGTGCAACAGTGGTACCCAACCTTTTACATTTTTCATCCCTTTTCTATCCTTGAGTAACTAACTAAATTGAGTAACTAAACTGCATATTTTATGGATATTTTATATTATATTAAATGCATAACAATACAGACAATTAACCCAAACAGTGAAAACAATATAACAATGCAGCAAGTTTGTGTAAAGCAAGTTGTTTGGATGAATTTTGAGCAGATTATTCTGCATAACAAATTATTTAAAATAATAATAATTCATTAATATAGGAATTATACCACATGAACATGGTATAATGCCAAATGTATTTTTTGTTTGGTTTAAGATTTTTGCACAAAAATTAAATGTGGCATATATCTTGTGCAGTATCATTTGTATATGAGTTACACATGATGTGGGGCAAGTACAGGGTATATGCAGGAATCCTG